TCTTCCCCTTAGGGACAATATGAATGGCTAATAACATCATTTGGATTAAAAAATGCTCTAGAAATATTCCAAAGAAAAATGGATAATATCTTTAAAAAATATAATTTCTCATCCATCTAAATCTTGTCTTAATAGTTAAAGCACCATTAACATGAGCCTTGTTTTAATCTTATCCATCTTCATATTCCATGATGTACTGTGACAGCCCCACCTTTCCCTAACGCGAATCCTAAAGATTAGCGAACTGCCTATCCAACTCTCGTCAGGACTCAGTTAACTAATGAACCAGTAACCCAAAAAAACTAACGAAATATCTTCGAAGTAAAGGTTACAAACCATAATGGAAATATAATCGTCATGCCAACTTTCCAAACTTAGAATATAGAGCTAAATGTCAAACTTACAATTCAAACTTAATTTACATAATAAGTGTCAAACTTACAAGAGTCAAAGGTAAAGTCTTCTAAACAAAAGGATTACAACCCAAAGTACAAGTTCAAAATAAGATTTAAGGCTACACAAGTTCTTGACAACAGTCCCATCCCAAATCTGTTAAGGAAAATAAAAAAAAAGTAGGATGACCTAAATCTCAGTGAGGTCCCAAATAAACATGTATGCACATGCCCAATTAGATGTATAATATAAACAAGTAAACACCGTATAATTTTAGAACAATTTAATCACAATTCAATTTAAGGATACAGATGGCTTCCAAAAGCCAAATCCACTTAAACTTGATAGTATTGAGAATCCGTTGACTCTCCGTCAACGTTTGCATTTAAAGAATGTAATGTCCGTAGAACACCACTTTTTCTAAATTTCATCTACCAGTCAACCCCCTTACAGGATCCGAACAACTCAAACAGTATAATTAGATAATACTCGAGTATACCAGTTTCCGGATTTCAGTAAATAGTCCCCAGGGTTCATCGGCTTTCTGGACCAAGTCCTTCACCTACAAGGTTGGGTACCCAAACAATCACAGTAGTCGATGGGATATCGCCCAAATGACGTACAGTCAAATATAAAGAAATCACATCTTAAATTATCAGTATACAGAGTCTCATTAAAATCGAAGGACGTCGAGTGTGATAAAGTACACACTCACCTCGAGTTTGTCAAATCAAATGTTTAGATCAAACAATCACAGACCAAGTATTCAGATATCTCACATAGACAGGTAACAGGCAGTGGAACACTCACCTGTTAAGAAATGAAGAGTTTGTCCGTCAAGTCCTCTGCATACCCTCATTTTCGTTTCCCAATTCTAGGGCAACGAGTAAAAGTCGTTAATATCTTAGATTTATTTTTCAACCCAAACGTAAGTTTATTAGGTGACCAAATGGGTCATTAATCGACTCAATTTACCATGCAAGTTAGACCAAAATGTAGGAAAAATTCATAAAAAAATGAGTTTGACAAGTGCAAAAAAGTTGAGCAAAAGAAAAATCTCATTCAAGTTCAAAAGGGTTTTCTCGGGTATAACAGTCGCACGCACGCAGTCTAGGGAAAATGGCTATATCTCACTGTCAAAAAGTCAAAATCATGTGCCTTTGGTGATGTTGGAAACTAGTTTCAAAGGATTTCCAACGGTATAAAATTCAAACTCTAGTTCCTCTCCTATCAATACCAAAAGTCTGGGGAAATTGACTAATTTTTCTGTTCTAATCAGTTCAGGGATTTGATAAAATCACCCTATTCCTCTTTCCTAACCTCATTCATTTTGGCTCAAATTCGTCCAATTTAATCTCCTAAAGTTAATATACAAGGGGTCAAGTTATATAGCACTATTTAAGCTTAAAATTCAACACACAAAATGATAAAATGAATCAAGGCAGTCCGACCAACAAGGAAGAACAAAACAGTCTGCTATCATACCAAATCAACCAATTTACTTGCTCCATTTCACCTCAACTCACACACAAGTTTAAACCAATATTTAGCCAAGTTCCTTAAGTTTAATTAAGGCTCAATAAGTCACAAAAATCAAGGGAAAACCTCCAATCCATGGCCGGCCAGCAAGGAGGAAAAGAGAACTGTCCCAAGTTCACATTCACCACCAAATTCCATCCTTTCATTATTTTTAACTTAAACAATATTCCAAGAGTTATTTCTAACTTTAAAAGGGTTCATAACATGCTAATACATCAAGAAAAATCATAAACAAAGTTTAGGCAAAAAATCAAACGCATGGCATGCCATATATCCAACCTTACTTCCACTTATTAACTAAAGGAATTTAACCACAAACAACATCAACTCAACTTCTAGTTTGTCATCAATATCTTAAACACTTGTTATTAAAGAATAAAGCTAGGGTTTAAGGATCATTCACCTTTCTTAAATGAAGTTTGAACCACCCAAAAGTCCACCAAAGCAAGAGTTCCAAGTTTGAATCACAAGCAAGCCTTGAAAATAGTTTACTCAAACTAACTAAAGTTCATTCTCCTTTGGTTTTCCACAAAATCCAAGCAATGGTGTCAAGCAAGAAAAATGGAATTTTTCTCCTCTTTTTAGAGCTCAAGAAAGTTGGCCATGCAAGGGAAAAAAATGGAACCAAAAAGGTTTAAATTGCTAATTTCTTTGGTCAATTTGTTTAAGTAGTTGGGACATTGGCACTTGGCCTAATCTTGGCCATTGATAAATGAATATTTCACATATATTTTGCACGGTGTTGCATGAGTTTTTGTCAGAATTTTAGAGGTTCTTTGCCATAATTGAGCTCCTTTTGGTGCAAATTGCTTCAAGTGTTGTTTAGTGATTGGAACTTGAAAAATGAGTAGATGAATGCATAATCATGTGATATTTTGTAGATTATCGAAGCACGAAATACTTACATAAGATAAAGGAGAAACAAGGTGCTAGTTGGAGGACAACGGACAAGTGAAATAAGGAGCGAAGATTGAGCAAAAGAGAAAAGAAATTGAAAATAAAAACATAGGAGATGGATCCGAGCCCGGATCCCGGATCCCGAATCCCTCCCTATCCGAGCCCTTGTCTGATCATCTGGACAAGTGGATCCGAGAGTTAGGTGATCCGAGCTCGGATCCCTGTGAAAATGGCCACGGATCCTAATGATCCGAGCTCGGATCATATGTTTAAGGCCTCGGATTCAAGCCTCGGATCCTCCTCTTTCTTCTGCAATCTACAGAACAATTGGTGTTCAGTTCACACTTACTTTTTGCCTTATGCTTCATACAAATTTTGGTTGGAAACTGGCAGACCTCTTTGACATCTGAACAAATAACATGTGAAGATTTCAATGGGGCAAATTAGAAAGAAAAAAAGAAAACAGCAAGACATTATTAGAGGGGGTAATAGATCTGGATCTGAGGGATATCAGATCTAGGAGGAAAATAGAAAACAGGGAAGTGAGTCTAGTCCTGCTCTCTCTAGTTAGGAACTTTTGTGGAGAATAATTGGAGACCCCATTGTACACAATTCTTGTTGAAAAAATTGAAGATCATTGGGAGCTTCTTCATTAACTTTGGCTAAGCTTCCTTTAATCTGTCTTTTACTTGAAATATATGATGTGTTCATACAAAGAAACTACGTGTTTTCTTGTTATATCTTACATGAGTAGTTAAGTTTCTAGATCTAGGGAGTAGATGAAACTTATGACTACTTGACATGAAATGAATATGAGTTACACTTGCTACATCTTGTATTAACTTGTTTACTTGTGCATACTTATTACTTGTTGCTGCTTGATCACCAATAACGAGCTCTTAGTTGTATTATTCAATGAAAATTGGTAATAATGATGGACAAACATGAGTCATGAGTAGATCTTAAGTAGTACACTCATGAGAATAGAGGTACACTTAAGCGGATTAACTTGCATTTCATAAAGAAAACAAGAGTAGAACTAGTATTTCACCATGAGAATAGGGAAAACTAGACTATTCTAGGCCATTTTATCATGATAATGAGATTTGGTAATGTTGAAAATGAATCCCTAGTTAAACAAGGGTTGTAACAAGAGGTAAATCTATTCATTTGTATTGTTTATACCATAAGTGTAATCTACATCCCTAAACTCAAGTGTTTAGTGAATTTTCTCATTTGTTATCTTACAATTGACTAGTTAAGATTTGTATGTGGTAGTAGTTATAAATTCTCTTACTTAAATTGATTGTAGTCTAACTAATAGAGGAGGTTAAGGGTCTAGTACTTGTTTAAATTGTTTCTTGTGGAATCGACCTGATATTTGCCCAAAACTAGCAAGTGACATGTATACTTGCAGTCCAACGAGTAAAATTTGGAATTAAATTTGCACTGGTATAAAAATCTGATCAAGTTTTTGGCACTGTTGCCGGGAAGCAGCAATATTAGGGCTTAATAATCTCTATTAATTTAGACAGCTTTATTTTTATTAGTTAAGCTGTTTATAGATAATTTTGCATTTTAATCAGTTTTTGACAATTGAAGGTGCATAATTTCTCTTATTTCTATTTGTACTATATACACTGGAAATCTCGAAAAGTTGTACCTTTCGGTCCAGAAATTGAAAGGACACTACGTAAACAAAAAAGGCATACACCACAGCAAGAGGAACAAGAAGTTTGGCAACCGATAAAGAAAATCTTAATAGAGCTACCATTTAAAGAAGAGATGGCAGAAAACGAAACAAACAGACGAGTTCCACGAGATTTTGCTCTACCGGGGACACAAGGATCTCAAAAAGTTTAGCAAGACCAACGGTAAATGCTAACAATTTTGAGATTAAACCATCACTTATTCAAATGGTTCAACGATCTCAATATGGAGGTAATACTACTGAAAATCCAAATTCTCATTTGCCAATATTTCTTGAAATTTGTGATACAATAAAGCTTAATGGTGTTAGTGATGATGCAATTGAGCTTCGATTGTTTCCATTCTTACTAAGGGACAAGGCCAAGGTTTGGTTACAATTTCATCCTTCAAACACTTTTACTACTTGGGCTGAATTAGCTAAGACTTTTCTTAATAAATTCTTTCTACCTAGAAAAACTGCTAAACTTAGAATGGATATAACTAGTTTCTCTCAACAGGAAAGAGAGATATTGTACAAAATTTTGGAGCGCTATCGGGAGTTACAACGAAGATGTCCTCATCATGGTCTCCCAGATTGGCTAATAGTCCAAACATTTTACAATGGTTTCACCTACCCAACAAAGACGCATGTGATGCGGCAGCAGGAGGAGCGTTGATGGGAAAGTCAGCCGAGGAAACTCAACAATTGATTGAAGAGATGGCTACTAATAATTATCAATGAGCCAACGAACGAAGTAATATAAAGAGAACCACAAGTATGCTTGAAGTAGATACCTTGAATATGTTAAGTGCAAAGATGGATAATGTGGTTAAAATGCTTAAGAGGCAAGTTGGTTCTAGTTCTAACCAAGGAGTAGTTGTTACGTGTTGTACTAACTGTGGAGGAAACTATGATGATTCTATGTGTTCTACCAGTGAACAGGTTCAATATCTTAACAATTACAACCGTCCACCCCAAAACAACCCATACTCCAATACCTATAATCCAGGGTGGCGTAATTATCCAAACTTTAGATGGAAGGATCAAGGGAACTAACAAAGACCAATGAATCCACTGGATTTTCAACCGAATCAATCACTTCCAGAGTCTAAACCAACTTGAAAATTGGCAATTGAGAAGTTAGCAAATGTATCAAATGAGAAAATTGAAAAATTAGCTAGTGCCACTACTCAACGGTTTGAAAGAATTGAGGGAAAGATAGACCAACTCACCAATATGTATAGGAATGTCGAGATCCAATTAGGCCAAATAGCTATTGCGGTCAACAGTCGGAACTAAAGTGATTTACCTAGCAAGACTGAGGTAAATCCAAGGGAGCATGTGAAGGTCATAACCCTCCGTAGTGGTAAGGAAGTGGGTAAGTCACCTGTGATTGAAAGTGTGAGAGAACATGAAATCAGGGAAAACAAACAGTCGAGTAAGTTAGGAGAAGATAACAAGAAAATTAAAGGGAAAGACAATGAGTAAGAAAGCAAGTCACAGATTGTAGAGACAACACCAATTCCTTCACCGGTGTCATTTCCACAAAGATTGAGCCTTTCGAGGAATGACAAAGACTTTGAGAAGTTTATCAACATTTTCAAAAAATTACATATTAATATTCTTTTTGTTGTTGCTATTTTGCAGATTCCTTCGTACGCAAGGTTTCTCAAAGAGATAATGACTAAGAAAAGGAGATTAAGTGATAGCGAGACTATTGTATTAACGGAGGAATGTAGTGTCATCATACAAAATAAATTGTCACTAAAGTTAAAAGATCCAGGGAGTTTCACAGTTCCTTACACTATTGGTAATGTAGAATTCTCTAAAGCACTATGTGACATTGGTACTAGTGTTTCATTGATTCCTTTAACTGTGGTTAGGCAATTGGGGTTGAAAGAGTTAAAGCGTACTAATATTTTCTTGTAATTGACTGATAGGTCTATTAGACATCTAATGGATATATTGGAGAATGTGCTTATTAAAGTGCAGAAATTCATCATTCCCATTGATTTTGTTGTTTTAGATATAGATGAGGATGTCAAGGTATCTATTATTCTTGGTAGACCATTTCTGGCTACTGTAGATACTATAATAGATGTTAAACGTGGTAAATTTAAGTTCCAAATCGGTGAAGAGAAAATGGAGTTTGATTTGAGTAAAGTAGAGAAGTACCTCTCTTTTACCGATCATGTTTATTCTATTGACATATGTGATGAACTGACATTAAAGATAAGTCAAGTTAATCTTGACGATGACACTTTTAAACTTTGTCTTAATGGTATAGGCTTGCAAGAGAAAAAAGTAAAAGAAAGGGGTTAATTCCACTTTGTCCCCCCAAACTTTGGACGATTACCCACTTCAGTCCCTAAACTTCAAAATGGGACACTTAAGTTCCTAAACTTATAAATACCTCCCACTTAAGTTCCTAAACTTATAAAATGAGACACTTAAATTCTTAAACCCTTATAAAATGGGACATTTCGACCACCAACGACATTCAGGATTTGTTAACAATTTTCCTTAAGTGGGAGGTATTTATAAGTTTAAGGACTTAAGTGTCCCATTTTGAAGTTTAGGGATTGAAGTGGGTAATCGTCCAAAGTTTGGGGGGACAAAGTGGTATTAACCCTAAAAGAAATGACCAAATATTTGCAGAGACAAGTCCTTTACAAAAGGAGCAATGCATATGAGGAAATAGGGTTGAGCAAAGGGTTACTCCCACCATCGTGCGAGCAAACTCCACGGTTTGAATTGAAACCACTTCCTAAACAACTCAAATATGCATTTCTTGGAGAAAAGGAGACATTGTCGGTAATTGTCAATGCCGCAGTTAATGAGGAACAACTTAGCAAACTCTTAAGTGTTTTGAGGAAGCATTTAAAGGTTATAGGATGGATAATTTCTGATATCAAAGGAATTAGTCCAACTATTTGTATGCACAGGATTTTGTTGGAAGAAAACTTTAAACCGGTGGTTGAGACTCAAAGAAGGTTAAATCCAAACATGAAAGAAGTGATAAGAGTAGAAATGCTTAAATAGCTGGATGCAGGTATAATTTTTCCAATCTCTGATAGTGTTTGGATTTCTCCTATTCATGTAGCGCAAAAGAAAGGGGGGATAACCATAGTATGTGGTAAAAATGATGAAATGATTCTTTCTAGAGTTGTAGTTGGGTGGCGAGTTTGTATTGATTATAGAAAATTACATGCAACTACTAGAAAGGATCATTTCTCTCTTCCTTTTCCTGATCAAATGGTAGAAAGATTGGTCAGATATGAATTTTATTGTTTCATGGATGATTTTTCAAAATATAATCAAATAGTCAATGCACCGGAAGATCAAGAGAAAACCATATTCACCTGTCCCTACAGCATTTTTGCATTTCAAAAAATGCCTTTTGGACTGTGCAATGCGGCTGCCACTTTTCAACGATGCATGATAGCAATTTTTTTTCATTTTAATGAGAAAATAAAATAGTCATTGCACCGGAAGATCAAGAGAAAACCATATTCACCTGTCCCTACAGCATTTTTGCATTTCAAAAAATGCCTTTTGGACTGTGCAATGCGGCTGCCACTTTTCAACGATGCATGATGGCAATTTTTTTCATTTTAATGAGAAAATCATGGAAATCTTCATGGATGACTTTTCTGTATTTGGATCTACTTATGATCATTGTCTTAACAATTTAGATCTAATTTTGCAGAGATGTGAAGAAATAAATCTTGTACTCAATTGAAAAAAATGTCATTTCATGGTTTGTGAAGGGTATTATTTTAAGCCATAAAATTTCTTCAAAAGGTATTGAAGTAGATCAACCCAAGATAAAAGTTATTGAGAGAATGCCTCCACCTACCAATATGAAGGGCATTCGAAACTTTCTTAGCCACGTGGGGTTCTATCTGCGGTTTATTAAGAATTTCTCCAAGATTGCTAAACCATTATGTGAATTACTTACAAAAGATGTTCATTTTCACTTTGATGATGATTGCTTACTTACTTTTAATAGGTTGAAAAAGGAACTTGTCTCCGCACCCATAATAACATCACCGAATTGGAGCTTACCGTTCGAATTGATGTGTGATGTTAGTGATTTTGCGGTGGGAGCTGTTCTTGGGTAGAAGCATGATAAGCGACTTCATGTCATTTATTATGCAAGTAAAATGTTAAATGAAATTCAAATCAATTATGCGACAACAGAGAAGGAGTTGCTAGCGGTGATATTTGCATTGGATAAATTTAGATCTTAGTTAGTGGGATCTAAAGTCATCATTTACACCGACATGCGGCACTTAAATACCTTTTAAATAAGAAAGATGCAAAACCTCGACTAATTCGGTGAATCTATTATTGCAGGAATTTGATTTGGAAATTAAAGATAAAAAGGGATGCTAGAACTTAGTCGCAGATCATCTTTCTAGACTAGAGAACATGCCTCAAGAAGACCATCTCCCCATTAAAGAAGAATTTCCAGATGAATTCTTAATGGCTATTCAAAAGTCACCATGGCATGCCGACTTAATTAATTTTGTAGTTAGTGGAGTGCTACCAAGTGATTTGAATTCCCACCAAAGAAAAAAATTCTTAAATGATGCTAAACATTACTTTTGGGAGGAACCGTTCTTTTACAAACACTGTGCGGATGGCATAATTAGAAAATGTGTTCCGGAAGAAGAGGTACATAGTATTTTAATGCATTGTCACACCGTGGAGACGGGAGGTCATTTTAGTACAACTAAAACCATAACAAAGGTATGGCAATCTGGATTTTATCGGCCTACTATGTACCGAGATACTAGAGATTGGGTTAAAAATCATGATCACTACCAAAGAACTGGTAATATCTCAAGAAAGTTAAAATGCCTCTAACTACATATTTGAAAGTTGAGTTATTTGATTTTTGGGACATTGATTTTATGGGACCATTTCCTAACTCTTTTAATAACAAATACATTCTTTTAGCGGTCGATTATATTTCTAAATGGGTGGAGGCCATTGCTTCACAAACTAACGATGCTAAGGTTGTACTTAAATTCTTTAAACGGAACATATTTTATATATTTGGTATCCCAAAGGCAATTATAAGCGACGAAGGTAAGCATTTTTGTAATAAATCTATTGACACTTTATTACTTAAATATGGATGTAGGCGTAAAAAGTCAATTTCCTATCATCCTCAAGCCAATGGCCAAGCAAAGCTGGCCAATCGGGAGATCAAACTCATTTTGGAGAAAACTGTCAATCGATCGAGAAAAGATTGATCAAATAAGCTAGAAGATACTTTGTGGATGTCTAGAACTGTTAGGATCAAGCGCTTACCATTGCACCAAAAGTTATAGCTGTTAGTGAAAGCGCAACTTTATTTCCTTAACCACAATGGCAACGCAAAGCACCGTACCGCGCTCGACCAGCATGAGGAGCTACACCCCTGGATGCCACGGGTTGGGCGGTTAGTCCTTTCGAGCCGGGATCTGAGGAATGTTGCTGATTAGACCAACAATCCCTCCCCCAACAACAGCCAGGGAGGCTCGAACCCGCGACCTCGCTCTGATACCACTTATTAGAATCAAGCACTTACCATTGCA